GGAATTGCCTTCAGCTGGAATCTGACTTAATTCTGTCAGTAAGCACTCTCTACCCATGACTGCAAAGATTAATGGCAGAGAAACAGGTCCAAGTTTCCCATTAAAAGTGTGGTAAATGGGTATACTCTTTTCCTGTTTTGTTGTTCAATAAAGTTTTTGACACCTTGTTAAGCTGGTACTCGAATATTGTCATGTCCTAAAGGTGGCACTCTCCTCTGCCTCTGCGCGCGCACAGGGAGGGCCGTGATTTTCTCCAGGCTGGGGTCTGGGAGGGAGGGAAGGAGGAAGGGACAAATAAAGAGAGAAGAAAGGAAGGGACAATGGGAGTTGAAGTCCACATGCCTTAAATTTGTCCCCCTCCAACAGAGACCCATGGATTCCCCCTACACAGCCACCCTGCAACCTGAGTGATGAGTTGGCCACGCTCCTCCCCCCGGCCATTGACTTCGCTTGTCAAAAAGTTGCAAAAGATGATCACATGACCCTGGGACACTATGACCGTCATAAGTATGAATCAATTGCCAAGCATCCAAATGTAAATCACACGACTCTGGGGATGCTGCAACAGTCATAAGTGTGAAAAATGGTCATCAGTCAATTTTTTCAGTGTCGTAACTTCGAACAGTCACTAAGCGAATTGTAAGTTGAGGACTACTTGTACTTTATCATTTTTTTTATCAAGTTTTTGAAACCTTGCTTGGCGACTGGTGGTACTCGGATATTGCCTTATCCTAAAAGTGGTACAGTGGTTGAAAAGGTTGTAAAGCCCTGCCCTAAACTCCACTGAAGATGTTAACTAGCATATCTATGGAGATTCTCAGTCATCCAGGTCAGTTATCCCAAAGATGCTTCTTCATGAGACAATTGGACTGTCTTGTTTTTCTTTGAAGAAGTTTCACTTCTCATCCAAGAAGCTTCTTCCGCTCTGACTGGATGGTGGGGAATGGAAGGATTTATACTCCTTGCAGACAGCTGGTCATCTGCCTTCTTTTAGAGAGTCATTGAGGCCACCTGGAGGTTTATCTGTGTCCTCAGGGTCACCTGAGTGGTACAGTTGGGCGTGGGGCCTTCTTGGAACTGCTGAAAGGACTATGTTGTAGACTGGAGATAGATGATGTATCCTTCCCCGTCTGTTCAGTTTTGACAGACGGTTTCTTTGACCCCTCTTTCAAACCAGCGGTCCTCTCTGTCCAAAATGTGGACTTTACTGTCTTTGAAAGAGTGGCCTTCATCTTTTAAATGCAGATGGACTGCTGACTCTTGTCCTAGTGGGTTTGTTCTCCAGTGTTGTGCCTGATAACGAAATATTCAGAAGCTACGAGAACGAAATCTCACCCTCATCTTACACCTGAGTTACAGATATTCGCCACTATTGCTTCCCACATTTTGTAGGGAAGAAAACCGTGATTAAAAAAGCTCAAACGGGATCTTCCTGACTTGAGGCAGGGATATCTCGTGTACACCCCAAAGAGAGTCCTTACAACTTCCTCTTTGGTTTCATTCTCTAGGAGTAGGGATAAGGGGGGTGGAGTGGGATTTAACATCTCTCAGCCTGATGTTTTCTCATGCATAGAATTTTCTGTTGGAGAGTCTTGTTAGTTCCTGTGCATGTGGAGCATTGTCTTGTATTTATCTTTATTGCCAATGATTGCTTGATGTGTGAGTATTTCCAGCTAAAAAATAAACTCTGTATCATGGTTTGTTTACTATTATGATTTCAAAGATATTTTTGATAGAAATATATATTAAAACAATATAGAAAATGTAATAAAAAAGGTAGAGGGGGAAACAATCTAAACAATAAATACAGGTGGATAACTAAGATAGCTTGAATAACCAACAGATCTAAATATCGTATGGCTTCTAATAGGCCAGTGCTGGCGAACCTATGGCACGTGTGCCAGAGGTGGCACTCAGAGCCCTCTCGGTGGGCACGCATACCGTTTCCCCAGCAGAGTTCGCCTGAGTAGCGAGCACATGGCGTTTGGAAGCGATGGGGCAGAAAGTGAGCAAGCAAGCGGCATTGGCCCCCAGGGGATGCCCTGGAGATGGTGAGGGACTGGCCCCGGCCATGCTCACCCAGTCTGCCATGACCACTGCAGCCATGCCCTCCTGAGGGCACCACAATGCTGATGCACCCCTGGCACTTTGCAATAAATAAGTGGGGTTTGGGTTGCAGTTTTGGTATTTGGTCTCTATAAGGTTCGTCATCAATGTAATAGGCCATTGATAAGTTAGCAATAGCACTTAGACTTATCTACAGCTTCACAGTGCTTCATAGCCCTCTCTAAGCGGTTTTCAGAGTCAGCATTTATTGTCCCTAACAATCTGGGTCCTCACTTTACCAACTGTGGAAGGATGGAAGGCTGAGTCAATCCTGAGCCAGTGAGAATCGAACTGCTGGCAGATGGCAGAATTAGCCTGCAATACTGCATTCTAATCACTGCGCTACCACGGCTCTTTGTAATTTAGAATACCTTATTGCAGTGTTTCTCAACCTTGACAAATTTAAGGCATGTGGACTTCAACTCCCAGAATTCCACAGCCAGCATTGCTGGCTGTGGAATTCTGGGAGTTGAAGTCCACATGCCTTAAATTTGTCAAGGTTGAGAAATACTGCCTTATAGAGATTTTGTAACCAATTTTTAGTAGAGAGATGTCTCTATTCAGCTGTAAAAAAATGTTTGATTAGCACAACAGTGTTCCTACTTGGAAGTTCTATAAAAGCCTGTAAAGGGGACAATGATATAAGAAAATAAGACACAGTCATATTTATTTATTTGCCTCCAAAAGAGGCACCAAGTCTTATTTTCGGGGAGTGTCTTTTCCACAGTCTCACCTCACGGCAGTGACACCGACAGCCTCACCCAGCCAGTCCACTTCTACGGCCGAAGGAAATGCCTCTGCAGCTGAGAATAGAGCTCTGGCCTGCATTTCGCCATCAGAGGCCTTCCGGAAAGGTCTCTGCAGCCAAGAACCGAGCTACAGATTGAATCCGTAGCTCGGTTCTCTGCTGCAGTGGCCTTTGTGGAAGGCATCCGATGGCGAAATGCAGGCCAGGGGCTCTGCAGAAGTGGGCTGGCGAGGTGAGGCAGATGTAGATTGATGGGAGGCCTGGCTGCAATGGTAAGTGGGTGCGGGACGCGTGGGGCAAGTCCACCCCCACCCCCATCCTAGCTTGATTTTTAGGCATGCACTTCACCTCAAAACTAGAGCTTATTTTGGGGGTAGGGTTTATATTGGGCCCACCCCAAAAATCAAGCTAGGTTTTATTTTTGGGATAGGCAAAACAGGTATAACATCTGTCTATCTGCTTGGACAGCTTACGGGAAGGTGGACTGCAGATATCATTTTGATAACCTGAGGATATCGTGGGGAAAGCAAAAGCTCCAGGTCAGCCATTTCCAGAGGTCCTGGTGATCTGTAGATGGTGTGGTATCTCTGGATAGAGAGGAAGCTCAGAAAAGGTTGAGTTAACCCTCCTGTCTGGGTTCACACAGTTGAATGTACACCAGATGCATTGTCCTTGGTCCAGCTTGGGACTGAGGACAAACGTAAGCAAGAAGCGGTGATGGTGTTAAACCCACAGCTGAAAATCTAGCCAGATTTAAGTCTCCTGGTATTGCAGTGACTACTCTAGAAACCATGGGTTTGGTCTGACCATGATTTTTATGCTAACCTTGGCTTAGCAGATGGTGTGACTCCAGGCTGTGTGGTTCATATGGAGCAGCCACCAGTTTTCTCCCCAAAGAAACAACGTGGCTTGGAAGATATACTCTGACTACAAAGGAGATGGAGACGGCAGCTGTCTCCTGCTTCAGTGGCATCTGCATGGCCACTGTGAGTTCAAGGAACCCGGTATTTGGTTAGAATAACAGAGTTGGAAGGGATCTTGTAGGTCAATGATGGTGAACTTTTTAGAGACCGAGTGCCCAAAAACTGGCCCCGCCCCTGCCCCACCCCCTGCCCTGCCCCTGCTCCACTCCCTGCCCTGCCCCTGCTCTGCCCCATCCTGCCTGCTCGCAGGGCCACTCACCGCCTCCAGGGCCCGCCACAGATCGCTCAGGCAGCCCAGCAGCACCATGGCAGCCACGCCCTCTGCCCGTGCCCCGCAGCATCAACTGTGTGTGTTGGGGCATGAGGGCAGAGTCTTGTCTACGCTGCCTGGCTGCCATGTCCTTGGCTGCGCTGCTCCACGTGGGCCATGCTCAGGGGTGACTGTCCTCCAGGAGGGCTGATGAGGAGAGGGTTGCAGACGGAGGCAAGACTGGGGCAACGGCACGTGTGCCCACAATAGGGCTCCGAGTGCCGCCTCTGGCACCTGTGCCATAGATTCGCCACCACTGTTGTAGATCATCTAGTCCAGGGGTAGGCAACCCAAAACACTCAAAGAGCCACTTAAACCCGTTTCCCACCGAAATCAAAACACTGGGAGCCACAAAACCCTTTTGATATCTAAAATGAAGATAACACTGCATTATATCCTTTTTACCTTTATTATAGGTGTGTGTGTCTGTGTCTGTGTCTGTGTGTGTATGTATGTATGTATGAGTGTGTATGTGTGTATGTATGTATACACACACACACACACACAGGTAAAAAAGGATATATGCAGTGTTATCTTCATTTTAGATGTCAAAAGGGTCTCTCTCTCGCTGTCTCTCTCTCTGTCCCTCCCTCTCTCTCTATCTGCCCATGGTCTGCCAGTCCTCTTCCCCCTCTTTCTTTCCCTCTCTTTCTTTCCTCTCTCTCTCTCCCTCCCCCTCTCTCTCTTTCTCTCCCTCCCTCTCTCTCTCTCTTTCTCTCTCTCTCTTTCTCTCCCTCCCTCTCTCCTATCTGCTGCTCACCTGGCAAGCTGGTTTCAAGCTGTTCTCCGACAAGCTCAGGGGTAGGCAATCTCGGTTCTTTTATGACTCATGGACTTCAACTCCCAGAATTCCTGAGCCAGCATAGCTGGGCTAGCTAGCTCTCTCCTGCCCTTCCTGCTTCCTGCTTTCTACAGAGACACAGCAAAAGGAGGAGCTCCGCCCAATAAGCTTTTCAGCTCCTCGGAGAACACTGTGAGTGCACTCTCTTTTACACACACGCACACAGAGAGAGAGAGAGAGAGAGAGAAGCGCAATTGCCTCTCTCTGTCTCTGTCTCTCTCTGCAAATGGCAGAGGAGGCTGGGAGCCACAGGGGAAGGCTCAAAGAGGGGGGGGGGAGAAAGAGAGAGAGAAAGAGAGAGAGAGGAAAGAGAGAGAAAGAAAGAGAGTGGGGGAAGAGGAGTGGCAGACCAAGGTCAGATAGAGAGGGAGGGAGAGAGACAGAGAGAGAGAGACCCTTTTGACATCTAAAATGAAGATAACACTGCATATATCCTTTTTTTACCTGTGTGTGTATGTAATTTTATTCTCTTAAAGCATTCTCTTGGTGATCATTGTTTTAATAGTATGTATATTCCCAAGAGTCATATTTTTACTTTTATTTTTAATGTGTGTGTGTGTGTGTTGTGGTGTGTGTGTGTGTATGTATGTAGTATGTATATAATATATATATATATATATATATATATATATATATATATATATATATATATATATATATGATAAAAACGAGCACCAGGAGGTAAAACAATTAAATGTTTAATAAATAAATAACCTAGCTTTCGATGGCTATATTGCTGCCATCATCGTCAGGGTGTTAAAAGCCAGAGGGTGGGGGAACTCGTTTATAGGCACAGACGCGCCTGCACACGGCTCATAGACCTCGTTATGGGGCCCGGTCGATTGATCCTCTCATCACTCATGTCAGAAGTGTTTCTGAGTTCTAAGTTCTTGCAGCTGATTACTTCTCTGTTGCGTGCGGCTCCTAGGCTGGGAGGCGAGCATTCCATGTCACTACGCACTAGAGTAACATGTGTAACTGCAGACCGATCCTGCGATGAAATCCCAGATCTGGCTATCTTCCTCCCCCCCTGTCTGACGTATCACTCTCAGGGGGCATGCTACCCCATGCGTGCTCCCATCTTCCCCTATAGCCCCCAATGCACAGCAGTTCGTTGCGATCTCCGTTCCTGTCAGTTTGGTGTCCGATTCAACTCTCCCTTCGGAGGAAATTCCAACTGCGGTCTTCGCGCGTGCGCCCTCACGTTTCCACCGTACTACTTGGGAACGCATGATGGGACCCTTAATGGGGCGGTTGCAGTCAGTAGGTCGGACGCAATATCGAGGAAAGGGAGGGGGAAGGGGAGGAGTGTTCGGGGCATCCAGGGCATTAGGGGGTGGGTTGCTGTTGTCAACGAATTCTTCATTCATCAATGGGTGCGCGCAGGAATTGCTAATAGCCGGGGGCACCCCAGATGGTAGGATCGTCCTTACCTCGTTGTCTATCTCTTCGTTGGAACAATTGAGATTGCAAACAGTGGGGTGCTTCCTCTGTCTGGAACAAATGCGTGCCTCCCAGGTTTTCATGACCTGGTGTGCAGGATGTAACTCCACACATCGATTAATAGAGTTACAGTCTGAGAACCAAGCCTCTTTGAGGAGTCTGCCGCTCTTGGAGACATCACTAGCAATAACCTGCACCCCATTGAAATCAAACTTGTGTCCAAGCTCTACCATGTGAGTGAGGATTTGTGAATAGTGCTCCCCTCTTTTTATTGCCAGCTTGTGTTCCTGTATTCTTGTCCTTACTCTTTTAGAGGTTTCTCCCACGTAATTACCTGGGCAATCTATACAATGGATTCTATAGATCACCCCAGATTTCTCAGTAACGGGGAGTGGATCTTTCAACCTCATGATACAGGAACGCAATGTGCAGTCCGGTCTATGTGCCACCCTTATTCCATAGGGTGACAATAGCCTAGCCGTGGCTTCAGAAACGTTACTGACATAGGGGAGAGTAATACGTGTAGTCTGTGGAAGTAGCTCCCCAATAGGTGGGTTATGGGGAGGTCTGGATAGAGCACTGTGGCGCCTGATAAATTTATTGGGGTATCCATTACGTCTACAGGTGTGGAACAGGTATTTCCTTTCTTCAGCCTTAGCTTTGGCCGTGCTGCAGTGTGAGTCAGCTCTTTTAAACAGGGTTCTAATACAGCTGACCTTGTGGGCCACCGGATGGTTGCTGTTAAAATGCAAAATCCTATCGGTGTGCGTGGGCTTGCGGTAGACCCTAGTAGCAAGGGTCCCATCAGGCTGGCGATGGACCAAAACGTCAAGGAACGCCAGCCTGCCTTGATGTTCCTCCTCCTCCGTAAACTGCAAGTCCATATGTATACATATATATACATACACACACATACACATACACACACACACACACACACACACACCTATAATAAAGGCAAAAAGGATATATACAGTGTTATCTTCATTTTAGATATCAAAAGGGTTTTGCGGCTCCCGGTGTTTTGTTTTTGGTGGGAAACGGGTCCAAGTGGCTCTTTGAGTGTTTTGGGTTGCCTACCCCTGATCTAGTCCAACCCCCCCCCCACCTAAACAGGAGACCCTACACCATTTCTGACAGAAATGGCAGTCCACTCTCTTCTTGAAAGCCTCCAGTGATGAAGCACCCACAACTTCTGAAGGCAACTTCTGTTCCATTGGTTGATTGTTCTGACTGCCAGAAAGTTTCTCCTTATTTCTAGCTTGAATCTCTCCTTGATCAGTTTCCATCCGTTGTTCCTTGTCTGGCCTTCAGGTGCTTTGGAAAATAGGTTGACCCTCTCCACTCTGTGACAGCCCCTCAGCTATTGGAACACTGCTATCAGGTCACCCCTGGTCCTTCTCTTCACTAAGGTTACACAAGTCCTTTTCCCATTTGGGGGGCAGAACTACTTTTGCCCTTCTTCAGTCCTCTGATTAACACTTAACCTCTTAGTCAGAATAGATGTTACCAGAATGACAGCTTTGTATGCAATAATAGAGCATGCGTGAAGGAGGCTGTTCCTTCACCTGTTTCAAGTGACCCACAGGAGCTGAGTTGACCCCATCCGCTCTAGGCCACCAAAAGGGAAAGTGCAGCCATTTGCATAGATCCTCATCTCCCACTGATTGTAGGTGGCTTACGGGAAAACATAACACTGGTACAATTAAACATGATTGAAGATAGGAGCCTCCAAGAGGGCGAGGTGTCAAAAAAGTCAACCATGGCTTGATCAAAGCTCTGCTCCTTTTGACCTGGATTGCTGGCACACATTAAAGGAGGGGAGGCTTTGATATTATAATCATAACAGACATCTTGACTGGCTTGACTTGACTTCACTGACAGCAGGACAAGAAGCAACGGATGGAAACTAATCAAGGAGAGAAGCAACCTAGAGCTAAGAAGAAATTTCTTGACGGTTAGAACAATTAATCAGTGGAACGACTTGCCTCCAAAAGTTGTGGATGCTCCAACCCTGGAAGTTTTTAAGAAGAGACTGGACAACCATTTGTCTGAAATGGTATAGACCAGGGCTTTTCAACCAGTGGTAGGGGTACCACCTGTGGTACATTGGCACTTGGCAGGTGGTACGTGGCCATCCTAGAAAAGTGGTAGCAGGGGAGGGGAATGAGCTGAACCGGTACTAGCACCGCACAAGCCTGAGCAAGAGATGGCTGGAGCTGCAGGGCTGTCAGGGCTCAGCAGAAGCGCCAGGATCAGTGCAGCTTTCCAGCTGATCGGTGCTTCTTCAGGGCTGTCAGGGCTCAGTGGAAGCGCCAGGATCAGCACCAGGCTCCAGCTGGAGTTCGGCGCTGATTCTGGCACTTCTGAGCCCAGAAGAAGCGCCGATCAGCTGGAATGTTGCAGCATCTCCAGAGTCTTGTGATTTACATTCAGATGCTTGGCAACTGATCCATATTTATGACGGTCACAGGGTCACAGTGTCCCTGCTGCAACCACCCAGCAGACAGAGGGAATAAAAACCAAACACCCCCCCCCCGCTGCCAATCCTCAAAAGAAATGCTCACAACAATGAAAACCTCGGACAGGAGGAAGAGCGTCATTGTAACTTTAAACAGTCACTAAGCGAACTGTTGTACGTCGAGGACTACCTGTACTTCATCACTTTTTTCCTTTTTGGGGGGAGGTCATCAAGTTTTTGACACCTGGTACTCGGATATTGCCAAATTGATGACCAAAAAAAAAAGGAAAAAAGTGATGAAGTACAGGTAGTCCTCGACTTACAACAGCTCACTTAGTGATTATTCAAAGTTACAATGACACTCTTCCTCCTGTCCGAGGTTTTCATTGTTGTGAGCATTTCTTTTGAGGATTGGCAAGCGGGGGTGGGGTGGGATGGTGTTTGGTTTTTATTCCCTCTGTCTTCTGGGTAGTTGCAGCAGGTTTTGGTCAACCTGGGGCACTGTGACCCTGTGACCGTCATAAATATGAATCAGTTGCCAAGCATCTGAATGTAAATCACAAGACCCTGGAGATGCTGCAACATTCCAGTTGATCGGCGCTTCTGGGCTCAGCAGAAGCACTAGGATCAGTGCTGCTTTCCAGCTGATTGGTGCTTCTTCAGGGCTTAGCAGAAGCACCAGGATCAGCGCCGAGCTCCAGCTGGAGCCTGGTGCTGATCCTGGTGCTTCCACTGAGCCCTGACAGCCCTGCAGCTCCAGCCATCTCTCGCTCAGGCTTGTGTGGTGCTCCCACCGGTTCAGCTCTTTCCCCTCTCCCACTATCACTTTTCTAGGATGGTCGCATACCACCTGTCATGTGCCAATGTACCACAAGTGGTACCCGTACCACTGTTTGAAAAGCCCTGCTCTAACTCTCCAACTCCTTTTGATTGCTTAAGAAGTTTGTCAGAAGGATTGAAACACATTCTCTGGGTTTGTTCCAAGCCGGAAACTGATGGCCAGATCTGGCCCTGAGTTGGTGCCCTAGCATGCCAGATCCCAGTGAAGCAACCCAGAACAGGAAGATCATTGAATTACAATTGATTCAAAATGTTTCAGAATAAAAAAGGGTTCTCTCTCTCTATGCAGCATAGGGACCCTGGGCAGCAATTTCCATTCTTTTTCATAGTTAAGACATCAAAGAAAGGTATAAAGGAAAGCTGATTGGACAAATCATCCTGCTCCTTTGCATATAACTCAGTTATATAAAGTTATAAAGGAGCCCTAGGGGTGCAGTGGTTAGAATGCAGTATTGCAGGCTAACTCTGCTCCCTGCGAGGAGTTTGATCCTCAAGGGTGACTCATCTTTCCATCCTTCCGAGGTCAATAAAATGAGGACCCAGGTTGCTAGGGGCAATAGGCTTGTATACCACTTAGTGAGGACTGTAAAGCGCTGTGAAGTGGTATATAAGCCTAAGTGCTAAGTGCTATTGCTAAGTTACACATACTACATACTAACACTCCACAATATTATGCATGATCACGAACGGGCGTTAAATGAGAAGCATTTTTATCTTCCAACTGATGTGATTGTTTTAAGTGAGCCAGCCACAGCCAAGTCAATCATCTTGGTCTCATCCAAGCTGAGTTTAAGGCAGTAGGGAGATATCCAGCTGGAATGGCCAGTAAGACAATCAATTATGGAAGAACCTGCCACATCACGGACACCCCCCTCCCCGGGATTTGCCACTAAGAGCAAAACTCCCGTCCAGCCGAAATGCTGAAAATCCCATCAAGCAAACAGCACTACCTGGAACAGAGGGCTTTAACCAAGTTTCTGTTGCAGTGATGACACGGCGATTTCTCACCTCCCGTTTGTAGTTAAATCTAGCCTCAAGTAATCTATTTTTGGCTCTACAATACGAAGCATGATCATTTAAATGACCTTCTAAAAACCCGTAGGTGGAGAATTTAGGAAATTAATGAGAAAAAGGGCATAGAGTTCATAGAATCATAAGGCTGAAAGGGACGTCAGAGGTTCTCGAGTCCAACCCCTGATCAAGGTAGGCGACCTTACGCCATCTGAGTCAAATGGTTGTCCAGTCTATTTTTGAAACCCTCCAGTGATGGATCCCCCACAACTCCTAACTCACCCATGTGAATCCCCCACCCGTATTTATATTCCTCCCCACCCTTTGCCTAGTTCCCCATTTGCTTTGGCCTGGTTCACAGGTTCCGTTTTATTAGAACGCACCTGCACAGGCATGAGCAGTTAGTGTCATTATTATGAGCAAGCTCTTGTGGTTAAAAACTGTCAGCTAGTTTTTTTAATCCTCATTTTTGAATCTCCCACAGGGGATCCTTTAGACTGATTCTTTGCAAGGGAGAATGCAATTCCCAACTCCTTTTGATGCCCCCCCCCAAAACTTTTAGAGAGAGCTAAAAATGAACAGCACCGTTTCCAATCACATAGATTATCTTGGTCCATTTCAAAAATCTAAGTGGGTGTGTCAGACAGGATGGGAGGCCAACAGGAGAAACTGAAACTCAGCCGGCTAGACTGAGTCATATTTGGAAATTTATCACAAGGCGGCAGTGGAAATTCAATTCTGTTTCCAATTATCAAAAAATTGAATGAGCAAGATTCAGAGGAAATGCTTATGATTCATGAATTAATGTGCCTGACCTTTTATGGTTCTTTTTCAATTCTTATTCATCTTTTGTCTTGTTCTCTTTCTCTCTCCCTCTCTCCTTGTCCCTCCCTCTCAGATATAATAATACTACTAGTAGTAAAATGGTAAGTGAGCACCTGTCCACCCTAGATGAGTTCAAATCACCAGGACCAGATGGACTACACCCCAAGGTTCTGAAGGAACTGGCAGATGTGATGTCAGAACCGCTGAACTATATCTTACAATAATCCTGGAGCACTGGGGAGCTACCAGAGGACTGGAAAAGAGCTGAAGTAGTTCCCATCTTCAAAAAAGGGAAAAAATAGATCCAGGAAACTACAGACCTATCAGCCTGACCTCAATACCTGGGAAGATTCTGGAGAAGATAATCAAACAATGAATCAGCGAACACCTAGAGGCAAACAAAGTCATTACTAAAAGCCAACATGGGTTTGTCAAAAACAGATCATGCCAGACAAATCTTATTCCATTCTTTGACCAGGTGACAAAATTAGTGGATCAGAGGAATGTTGTGGATATAATTTACTTGGACTTCAGTAAGGCATTTGATAAAGTGGACCACAACCTACTACTTGATAAGATAGAAAAATGTCAATTAGACAGCATCACCACCAGATGGATTCATAGCTAGCTGACCGGCCGTACTCAGCGTGTGGTCCTCAACACAACTGCATCTACATGAAGGGAAGTGTGTGGTGGGGTGCCCCAGGGCTCTGTTCTAGGCCCAGTGCTCTTCAACATCTTCATCAACGATTTGGGCGAGGGGATAGATGGGGAACTCATCAAATTTGCAGACGACACCAAGCTGGCAGGAATAGCCAACACTCCAGAAGACAGTCTTAAGATACAGGAGGATCTTGACAGACTTGAACATTGGGCGCTATCTAACAAAATGAAATTCAATGGTGAAAAAAGTTGTTGTTGTTAATTGCGAAGTTGTGTCTGACCCATCGCGACCCCATGGACAACGTTCCTCCAGGTCTTCCTGTCCTCTATCATCTTCTAGAGTCCATTTAAGTTCACACCTACTGTTTCAGTGACTCCATCCAGCCATCTCATTCTCTGTCGTGCCTTTTTTCTATTGCCCTCAATCTTTCCCAGCATTAGGCCCTTCTCCAGTGAGTCCTTCCTTCTCCTTAGGTGGCCAAAGTATTTGAGTTTCAACTTCAGGATCTGGCCTTCTAAAGAGCAGTCGGGGTTGATCTCTTCTAGGACTGACCGGTTTGATTGCCTTGCAGTCCAAGGGACTCGCAGGTGTCTTCTCCAGCACCATAGTCCAAAGGCCTCAATTTTTTTGCGCTCAGCCTTTCTTATGGTCCAACTTTCACAGCCATACATTGCAACTGGGAAAACCATGGCCTGGACTATACGTACTTTTGTTGGCAGGGTAATGTCTCTGCTTTTTAGTATGCTGTCTAGATTTGCCATAGCTTTCCTCCCCAGGAGCAAGCGTCTTTTAATTTCTTGGCTGCAGTCCCCATCTGAGGTGATCTCACCTCAGATGGGGACTGTAAGGTCCCCATCTGAGTAAGGTTCTACATTTAGGCAAGAAAGGTTCTACAAGTAAGTTTCTACATTTAGGCAAGAAAAACATGATGTAGGACGGGGGTCCCCAACCCCAGTCCATAGACCTGCACTGGGCTGCGTAATGCTAGAAACCAGGCCACGCAAACTAGGGAAACCCCATCCACAGGATGCAGAGAATGTACGAAACCACGCCCCCTCTGGTCCACGGAAAAACCTCTCTCTGTGGAACCGGTCCCTCCATCATCCAGGTATCTACTGTATAAGGTTAAAATCATGGCGACTGGACCAAAATTTGTTCAACTGAGACATTTCGTTGCTCATCCAAGCAACTTCATCCGTCGAAATACAGGTGGTCCTTGACTTACAATATTTCATTTAGTGACCCATTTGACGTTACAACGGCACTGAAAAAAATAAGTTATGACCATTTTTCACACTTATGACCATTGCAGCATCCGCATGGTCACGTGATTTACATTCAGATGCTTGGCAACTGACTCACATTTATGACAGTCACAGCATCGCGGGGTTATGTGGTCCCCATTGGCAACCTTCCAGCAAGCAAAGTCAATGGGAGAAGCCAGATTCGCTTAACAACCGTGTGACTAATTTAACAACTGCAGTGATTTGCTCAACAAATGTAGCAAGAAAAGTCGTAAAATGGGGCAAAATTCACTTAACAAATTTCTCACTTAGCAACATAAATGTTGGGCTCAATGGTGGTCGTAAGCCAAGGACTTCCTGTGAAAAAAATTAGACAGAGAGTCAGAGAGTCGTTGTAGGTGCCAACCCCTGCCACACCACTTCAAGGGTTTTTCCCAAAAATTATTGCAATATGTCAGTGAAGACTGAGTCGTCCAGGCTAAAGGCTGAATCATTTTAATTTTATTTTGACTGATGAAGTTGCGTAGTTGAGCAATGCAAAATCTCAGTTTAACAAATTTTGATCCAGTTGTCACAGTTCAACCTTATACAGGCAGTCCTCGACTTACAACCACAATTGAGCCCAAAAATTCTGTTCTTAAGTGAGACAATTGGTGAGTTTTGCCCCATTTTACGACTTTTCTTGCCAAAAAGATGTTAAGCGAATCACTGCAGTAGGTACGTTAGTAACCTGGTTGTTAAGTGAATCAGGCTTCCTCCGTTCTGACTTTGCTTGTCAGAAGGTCGCAAAAGGGGATCACGTGACACCGGGACACAGCAAAGGTCATAAATATGAACTACCTGAATTTTGATCCCATGATCATGCGGATGCTGCAAAAGCCATAACTATGATAAACGGTCATAAGTCACAGTGTTCAGTGCCGTTGTACTGTTGAACGGTCACTAAACAAACTTGTTTGTCAGGGCTATCTGCGGATGCGCAGCCAATGGTTTCATCACTGTCAACACAATCATTCAAGAACTCAGACCTTGCCTGTATACAAGGACATCTGTCATGGCTCCATCAGAGCCTGAATCTGAAGAGGAAAATGAGCTGGAACAGGACCCTATGGAGGGCCAGGGAGAGGTGTCTGTGGCTCCAGAGGAATGTAGGGAAGAACAGGCCGAGGCAGGCCAGGGCCCTTCAGGAGTGGGACAGGAGGAACCGGAGAGGCAGAGTTCAGGCGATGACCAAGGCCCACCCTCACCTGATCCTAGAACACGGAGAGTGGAGAGAAGGAGGGAACAACCCAGGCAGGCTCAACTACTGGGGAGGAGAGCGGCCCGCCCCTCTCCACAAGGCACAACTGGAGACTGACACTTAAGGAGACGCTGTGGGGTGAGGCATTTGTCGCTGATTCTTGGAGTTTTGTGTGTTGTTGCTGATTTGATAGCAGTGTTCCAAAATCTGAGGGGCTGCCACAAAGAAGAGGGAGTCAAGCTATTTTCCAAAGTGCCTGAAGGCAAGACAAGAAGCAACGGATGGAAACTAATCAAGGAGAGAAGCAATCTAGAATTAAGGAGAAACTTCCTGACAGTTAGAACAATTAACCAATGGAACAACCTGCTTCCAGAAGCTGTGAATGCTCCAACACTGGAAGTTTTTAAGAAGAGGCTGGACAGCCATTTGTCCAAAATGGTATAGGGTTTCCTGTCTGAGCAGGGGGTTGGCCTAGATGACCTCCAAGGTCCCTTCCAACTTTATTACTATTATTATTATTATTATTATTATCGATCATTGCACAGTCAGCCAGATGTTCAGACTGGATTTGGCATTTTGTCTACCTATCGAGTCCTTACCCAGGACCTGGGATAGGCAGATGTGGATGTTTGATGGTATTACAGATATTGTCACAGGATGGAAGCAGTTCCTAGTAAGGCCGCCTTTTGCAATTGACTAATAGCGAATTTGTCAATGCCAATGGTGTTCAAGTGGTGCTCCAGTTGTTTTGGGATTGCACCCAAGGAGCCTATGACTATTGGTACTACCCTTGCTTGCTTTTGCCACAGTCTTTCTATTTCTATTTGTAGGTCTTTGTATTTTGTTATCTTCTCCAGTTCTTTCTCTTCTATTCTGCTATCTCCAGGCACTGCCACGTCCACTATCCAGACTTTTTTGTCTTTCTTATCGACAATTGTTAAGTCTGGGGTGTTATGTTGCAGGTGCTTGTCTGTTTGAATTCTGAAGTCCCAGAGCAGTTTAATTTTATCATTTTCTATGACTTTCTCTATTTCTATGAAATAGAAATAGAGTAATAATAATAATAATAATACTAATAATAATAATATAATAATTATTATTATTATTATTATTATTATTATTATTATTATTATCGATCATCGCACAGTCAGCCAGATGTTCAGACTGGATTTGGCATTTTGTCTACCTATCGAGTCCTTACCCAGGACCTGGGATAGGCAGATGTGGATGTTTGATGGTATTACAGATATCGTCGCAGGATGGAAGCAGTTCCTAGTAAGGCCGCCTTTTGCAATTGACTAATAGCGAATTTGTCAATGCCAATGGTGTTCAAGTGGTGCTCCAGTTGTTTTGGGATTGCACCCAAGGAGCCTATGACTATTGGTACTACCCTTGCTTGCTTTTGCCACAGTCTTTCTATTTCTATTTGTAGGTCTTTGTATTTTGTTATCTTCTCCAGTTCTTTCTCTTCTATTCTGCTATCTCCAGGCACTGCCACGTCCACTATCCAGACTTTTTTGTCTTTCTTATCGACAATTGTTAAGTCTGGGGTGTTATGTTGCAGGTGCTTGTCTGTTTGAATTCTGAAGTCCCAGAGCAGTTTAATTTTATCATTTTCTATGACTTTCTCTATTTTATGATCCCACCAGTTTTTGCTTACAGGCAAATGATATTTTTTGCAGATCTTCCAATGCACCATTGTTGCTACTTTGTCATGCCGCTGCTTGTAATCAGTTTGTGCAATCTTCTTGCAACAGCTTACCAAGTGGTCCACTGTTTCTTCAGCTTCTTTGCATAGGCGGCACTTACTGTCTGTTGCTGTCTTCTCAATTTTGACTTTGTATGCATTTGTTCTTAAGGCTTGGTCTTGTGCAGCCAGAATTAGTCCCTCGGTCTCTTTCTTCAATTTTCCTGCTCTTAGCCATTGCCAGGTTTTATTATTATCTGCTTTCCCAGCTATTTTTTTCATGTATTGGCCATGTAGTGCTTTGTCTTCCCATGCCTCTATTCTGTTCTTCATTTGGTCTTTCTTGTAGGCCAGTTTGGTCTCTCCAGTAGTTAGTAAGCCTTCCTGATATACTAATTTCAGTGCATCTTCATCATTGTTCTTCAGATATTCTTCCAAAGCCATTTTTTCTTCTTCAACCATCT